AGGACGAGGGAGCATACATGCGCTGTTCCTCTTAGACCCTTGGTGCCTGTGTCCCCAGCCCAGCGCTGGGCCCGAGGCCTGTCTCAGGTTTCTCTGTGAGAACTGCCCCCCTGCTTCTCTGGGCGCTCACCTTAGTGTCTAGCCTCCAGCTTCTCCCCGGGTTTCTAGCTGAGCCTTTATTCTCTAGTGACTTTTCTGTCAACTCTTCTGTGAAAACCACCAGGTTGCTTTGTCATTGTGTGTGTTTATGAAGTCACGGGAAGGTCAGACTGGGGAGAAACTTGGAGTCCGCTCGGTCTTCTCCCCCTCAGTCCCCACCAAAAATGGGTGGGGGACTTCGTGACTTTCCCCCGGCCAATGACAGAGAGAGTTGGACCCCAGGACTCTTTGTACCCAATGCAGCCCCGATACCAAGCTGGTTCCCTTGCATTTGGCTATGTTGGGTGCAGCATCTGCTTAATCCCTGGGTAATCTTCCTCTCTGTGACCATCCTCACACCCATTTCTCTTTAATGTTCTGACCAACAGGTCAGGGTGATTATTAGAGGAAAACATATGGTTCCCGACCAAAAGCCACCTTCAACTTCAACCTAGAGTCACCACAAGCTACGGGGGAAGGCCCCAGTGTGCAGGGGCCAGGTGTCTTGAGAATGTGGTTGTGGGTGTCAATGAGAGCATGTGCTAGTGTTTGTTATTTCATTGCAAATGTCCCTCCTTACGTAGAAGATGCCTGGAGGCCTGACCACAGCAGGTGTGGGCTCACCTGCAAGGGCAGGGAGAAGCGTAAGGAGGGAGGGGAGCAGGAGATGGGAGTGGTCACAGCCTCAGGCAGCCCCGTCCTGTGGCTTATTCTTTGGAGGACCATAAGCAGCTACAGGAGAACGGACCATAGGAGTGGCCTAGCTGCCACCTTTGTTGCTGTGGAGACTTGAGGGCTTTCATGTTGTGTAGGGAGACCTCAGGCCACTGAATGCATGCTGAGCTTAGCTAAGTAAGGAAAGAGGAGAAATTGGATATCAGTTGCAGAGATAGATGCCCCTAGCTGGTGTGGGCCAGGCAAAGCAGCCCCTGGGATCAAGAGACCTGGGTTCAAGTCTTGCCTTTCCACTCAGTAGTCTTATAACCTTGGGCAAGTCTCTTAATGTCATTGAGCTTCAGTTTCCTCCTGTGTAAAATCAAGGTAAAAATAGAGCTTACCCTTCCTGCTCGACAGGGTCAG